CAGCCTCAATTTGGAAGTCACATGCCCTATAAATCTTCTAAGTACTGAACGCCTACTCCATATTTATCATTGTCTACAACAGTACAGCCAGAGAACATCATGAAGGACATGGAAAGGTGCTATATTTTCATGCTGCAGAAGAGATGAACACACTCATATAAAAGAGGCGGCTGGACAACTCAGCACCCACACAGCACTCCATAACTATCCTTAACTTCGATTTCAGGGAATCTGAAACCTCTTCTGACCGCTGTGGGCACAAGGCTCACAGGCAGTGCACTTACATACAATCAGACAAAACACATAAAAAATTAATCTAAATGTCTTTGTTATTGTTGTTTTGTTTTTTCAAGACAGGGTTTCTTTGTGTAGCCACAACCACCCCACTGAGAATCTTATTTTCAACAACCACATTCCACTAGTAATTTGCAAACTAAATATGAATAACAAATTGTATAATATAAAATCTAAATATAGTATTCCAACTCACGCATGTAACTTAGGTTTCATAAAATAAATTACCAGGACAAGATTAGGAATTGAAGATCTTTGCATATTAACATGAAGAATGTCAAGTGACTGTCTGAAATACCCTTCAAGAATAGAAACTAAAATGACACACCTCAAAGGCATTCTAAGAAGTTGCCATTTATTGATTCTTATCTTCTAAACACTAACACTAAGCATCCTACATAATGCCATTTCATATTATGAAACAGGAAGAATCATCCCTACTTACATAGGTGAATATAATTCACATGATTAAGTGATTTGTTTTGAATTTCACAACCAGTAAATGTAGATGGGAATTTAATTTGGTTTTGTCAGAATCGGAGGTGGGAATTTAATTTGGTTTTGTCGGAATCCAAAAGCAGTGTCTTTATTCATTACACTAGCAACTTTTGTGACATCATGACATATATTGGAAGGTTTTGGTAGAAGATATCTTTCTTTTTTGTTTTTTGTTTGTTTTTTTTGTTTTCAAGACAGGGTTTCTCTGTATTATTTTGGAGGCTGTCCTAGAACTCGCTCTGTAGACCAGGCTGGCCTCCAACTTAGAGAGATACGCCTGCCTCTGCCTCCAGTGCTGGAAGACATCTTTCTTTACAAGATTGTGTCATGAAAATGAAAAGTATTACAGGTTATTAAATAATGAACTGGTATAAACCTTGTAAATAATTTTTCTCTTCAAATTATCAAACTGAAGAAATTTACAGAGAGATTCACACCAAAACAGTCCAAACACTATTTCAACTGCTGTCAATTTGGAAACTATAAAATGCTCTCAGAGCTGGGTATGGTGCCACATACTTTTACAGTCCTGTATGCTGGAAGGTTGAGACAGCAGAGTTCCAGGCTAATTCAAGCTACACATACAATAAGCCCCTGTCTCAAAACAAGAGTTAAAATCTGAACATACAATTCCAAGTAGCACATCTACACACCACCCTAAACACACTGGTTGGGAATATTTATACAATTCAGTTGCAAACTCTGGTTAAACAGCAATTTGGCATAACAAGATCTTCCCAATACTATCTAATGGAAATTCAAACCAAAGGAGAAATTACAATACTTTCTTAGTAATGAGCCTGTACTAATTAATTAATTAAAACTTCTATAGTACTTTTAATCTGTAACATTGATAAACAGTTACTATATAGTTTTGCTATATATTATTATCATATTTAATCCTCCCAGCAATTCTGAAGGATCTCTACTTTCTGCATTTTTTTTTTGGTTTTTTTTTTTTTTTTTGGTTTTTTGAGACCGAGTTTCTCTGTGTAGTTTTGGAGGCTGTCCTGGCACTCGCTCTGTAGACTAGGCTGGCCTCGAACTCACAGAGATCCGCCTGCCTCTACCTCCCGAGTGCTGGGATTAAAGGCGTGCGCCACCAATGCCCGGCTTACTTTCTGCATCTTAAAAGTAAAGAAACTGAGGCAAATGAAAATTACTTTCCTAAGGTTACAGCTAGTAAATAAACATGAATTAGAATCTGAACCATTCTGACTTCAAAGCCCACACTTCCATCACTAAGCAAAATTATAGCCACAGACAAAAGAAAATATACAAACCAGGAAAGGCAAGAGAAGTAGATTCCAATTTAAATTAAATTGGATAGTCTCATAGTGTTTAAGTAAAAATGGCTTACAATGCATCAAAGGAAAAGTTATGAAATCAAAAAAAATGAGAGGAAGGAGTAACTGGAATATCATACAGGGTAGTTTTTTATATATCATATAGGTATATTTTACTTAAAGAAATATCATGAAAGGTCATTTTTTAAAGTGTTAGATTTATTCGTGCTATGCCTGAGTGATTAACCTCCACGTATGTATATGTACCTTGTACATGCCTACAGGTAGTTGTGAGGTGTCATGTGGGTATTGAGACCCTCATCCAGATCCTCTGTAAGAATAGCAAGTGATCTTAACTGTTAAGTCATCTCTGCAGTCCCATGAAAGATCATTTTAATTTCACATATGCATCATGATACAACTCAGGTTAAGACCAGTTGCTTCTGCAACCTACTTCGACTTACTGGTTTAATTTGCTCAAAATATTGCTGGTTAAAAAAAAAAAAAAAAAAAAAAAAGCCGGGCGTTGGTGGCGCACGCCTTTAATCCCAGCACTTGGGAGGCAGAGGCAGGCGGATCTCTGTGAGTTCGAGGCCAGCCTGGTCTACAAGAGCTAGTTCCAGGACAGCCTCCAAAGCCACAGAGAAACCCTGTCTCGAAAACCCAAAAAAAAAAAGAAATCCTGAGAAAAAAGTTTTTCATGGTGTGATACACACCTGTAATCTCAGCTATAGGATCTCATGAATTTTGAGACCAAGATTCTGTCTCAAAACAAAACAAGCCAGGCGTTGGTGTCGCACACCTTTAATTCCAACACTCGGGAGGCAGAGCCAGGCGGATCTCTGCAAGTTTGAGGCCAGCCTGATCTACAGAGTGAGTTCCAGGATAGCCCCCAAAACCACAGAGAAACCCTGCCTCAAAAAACAAACAAACAAACAAAAGCTTTAAAAAAAGAAAGAAAAAAAAACTGGTAAAAATGAAAAACCAAAGGTTTAATACTTTGACTTTAAAACTTTTCAAATTATCTAAGTTATGGTGTGCTTAATTTTTTTAATTAAAGGTCCTGAATAAAGATTTTTTCACAGATTCGTGGATAGTTCTGCTTGCCTAAGTTTTTTAATGGTCAATATAAATTAAATCACAGTGAAGGAGAATACATATTTAATTTCATAAGTTGACTGGTCAATATAGAAAATGCTAATGTCAGGGGCTAGAGAGATGGCTCAGTAGTTAAGAGCACTGTCTGCTCTTCCAAAGGACCCATATTCTATTCCCAGCAACCACATGGCAGCTCACAACTGTCTATAACCCCAGTTCCAGTGAATGACATCCTTACACACACATGTGGGCAAAACACCAATGTATATGAAATAAAAATAAACCATGTTTTAAAAAGAGAAAATGCTAACGTCAATGGTATGATGATATATGCTGTAACCCCAGCGCTGGAGAAGCTGGTACAGGAAGATGGAGAAAACTTGCATAGCACATGTACTGTTTCATACCGGCCTTCTGAAAGGCTCCCATGAACCAACGTCCACCATAGGCTTGATCAAACTGGCTGGCTACTAGTAAATTCTTAAGTACCTGCTAAGTACCAAGAACCATGTTCATCCACATAAGATACCTGTTACATAGACTCTGGCAGTCTAGAACTATGACTTGACTTCCTATCTTCTAGAAACTCAAACTCCACTGCACAACCTTTTCTTTATATCCAAGTTGTCACTTAAAGCTTCCACCACGTAGAAATAAGCACCCAGCACATCCTAAAGCACAAAGTAGGTCTGAGATTATGGTGGCTGTCCTCTGGAGTGTCACAACGTGAAATTGGTACTCTACAGTGACTCCTCAGAACTCAATTTATCTAAAAGTTCCGCTGCTTACAGAACCTGTGACTCCTACATATTCTCATCTAACAAATTCCTCAAAAATATGATTATTGAATGTGGCTGGATTTACTGGTAAGCTAATACCAGAGATTTTTTACGTGATTTACTGGGCCTATCAAAGTTTACATCTAAACTGTGCTGACTAAAACATGTCTGACTATATATAAAAGTCACTTAAATTGAGTATAAGGCTACAAGCTGTAGTCTGGAAGCCAATATTTTTACTTTAAAGACCCAATTAAAAAAAACTCCCCCCAAATTTATCACAATCTTTACTGTAAATACGCCCCATCCCATATATTATCGCATTTTAGCTCTATTTCCAACGCTCATTACATCCCCACTGTAATCTACTGCCCATTAATCCTCTATCACAAACCCCAAAGATGACATTCTTTCAATTCTCTCAGCTTATACCATCCCTATCCCTTGTTGAAAAGTATAGCCGGCCTCTGATCCAAGTACCGTTCTTTTATACCTAAGAACTTGTCATTTATTTCACCCGCCTCCCCCTTTATGTTCCTGGACAATCCACCTCACTAACAGTCCAAAAACTACGTGCGCTCTTTTACAAACAGCAGGCTTTTTATGTGACCCCTCGGTCCTAGCTTCTCCAATCACCCAATCCTTCCAGCTTTATTCTTCCACACAAACCCAGGACAGGCCCACCAGACACCGTACACTATCCTCCTCAACACGTTCCAATCCGATGTGAAACCTTCCCTGACTTATATCGGTCCTTCCCTTTACCGAGTCTTTCCCGGATTCTCAACCCAGCCTCAAAGCTCTAAACTCCCCAACTCTGCTAAGCACCATCCCAGTCCGGTTACACCCTCTCCAACCTGAAATCCCCACGCCTTCCGGGGCCTCAATCACCAAGCCCAGAACTCGCCCCATGCCGGGCACCCATCCCCTCCCGGTCCCTTTGGGGTCCTTTCCGCCGGGCTAGTCAGACCCCTATCAGCTCAGCCTGCTCCCCGGGCCGGACTCCCGGGAGTCTGGGACTCCAGCTCCGCCCCCAGCCCCTCACCGAGCAGCAGCAGCTTCACTTCTTTGGCCGCTTTCTCCCCGTCCTCCCGCAAGTTGCGGTCAATCATCTTGCTCCGCTCCACCGCCGCCTTGTCCTCGGCGCTCAACGTGCAGCCCATGACGGCGGCGGGAGAGGGGCCCGGGTCCGGACTCACACACCGCGGGAACCACAACTACACCGGCTGAGACGCGTCTGCCGCTGGGCGGTGGCCTTCTCCGTCAGCTCCCCTAGCGCCCGGAAGAACCGGATATCTGCTGTTTACGACACTTCCGGCGACGCCCAGCGGCCGTTACCATTTAGAGCACGGTGGCGGTAGGGAGCGAAGGAGGTACGGAAAGCGGAAGTCCCGGGGAGACCGGCTGTTCCCGTGGAGGCATGGAGATCCGTCGCTCCGCACCTCCCAGCCCTAATACCCGTTTACTTCTTGGGCTCTCAGGCTTGGATAAGCGTAGACAAAGAGGGACTTCCAGTTCGCACAGAAGGTTTGGTGGTGAGGACGGGATTCCTAAAGAAGAGCTCATAGCCCTCTGGAAATTTCACCTGGGAAAAGTCTCCCTGGCCAGAAAAAACCTTTTGATCTGTGATTACCGATCCTGGGTCTCTGCCCGAAGCCGAGTGTTGGACACTTCAGCCAAAGTTGTCTCAGTCTGATCTTTGAAATGGGAACAAACTGCCTCATGCTTCCTCCTGCTCTTAATTAAAGTATACCTTAGTCCTTCTGCTACTACTCTGAATTTCTGTGAGCTGTCCATTTGCCTGGCACTCCTATGTTGGCAAAGGGTCACTTGACTTCTAGCAAATAATGGAACATAGAAAATAGGTGTCGTTCATATCATTTCCATGTTTCCCTTTCTCCAATATAAACCAAGGGCTCTTCATTAGGGACTTAGTCCCATGCCCAGAAGCAAACCAGTACATCCTTCTTGAACAAGAGTTCCTATATGATAACCACAGAAAAAGGGAAGTTTAGTAAAAAGTTGTCTCTCTAGTATCACCAGAAGATTTGTAAAAAAAAGTATAACCTTGTGAAGGTAATCCTAAAATATCTTTCTTTACTGCCGAATAGCCCCACAGTGAGTCTCGACGCTTTTTGGAAAGGTCACCTTTTTTTGCAGCCATTGAAACTTTTCCTGGAATTTAAAATTATTTCTCTAGTAGAAACTAAAAATGCAAATTCCCAACAGAAAGGTCTATATTTTGAAAATTAATTAGAACCATTTAATCAGAAGATTACCCTCATCCACTTCACCATAATGCTTATCAATTCCAAGTCTAGAAAGTGTCCCACTCATTTCCAAGTGACCACTAAAAAAGAAAGAGGCTGCTTTTCCTTTATGATCACTTCTGGGGCGTGGGGGGAAACACAACATTTATTGAATACCTACTTGCCAGGTATGGCTAGGTGCTTCCGTGTCTCATCTCTTAATCCTCACAACAACCCTGTGAGGTAGGTAATATTGGTCCCCATTGTACAGATGAGGAAATAGGCTCAGAGAAATTAAGCAGCTTTCCCGTGTCCACACAGTAAGTACATCTAACTGACTTACACTCTACACCTATTTCTACCAGGCCTCTAGAAAGTAGTGCTTGAGGGCACCTGACCACAGAAAGTCTAAAGTTTTTTGTTTTTTTGTTTTTTTTTTTAAGTCTAAAGTTTTTATCTAGGATGACAGTCACCTCAATACCAAGTTGTAAGCAACAGTAGCTGACAAGATGATGGTCCCATTCTGTTGCTCCAGGAGCACCTGTGAAGAGCTAAGGATTGTATATTGAACTTTACCAATACATCTTGGTGACTAGAAAATTCCTGGAAAGTGGTTACAGCAAAGGCTGTGGAAAAAGTTCTCAGTATAATAACAGGGAAAGTTTTACTTCCTTTATGATCTGTTCCTACAGCCAGGAAAAAAAAAAAAAGCAAGTGAATTCTTACATGCCAAACTTACTAGTTAATGGCAACATGACCTCAGTGTCAGGTTATTTCAATCTGAATTAGAACTATCTTTGCACTTAAGTTCCTTTTATGTGAAGCAAGGGTTGGAGGGCAAAGCAAAAAATAAATAAATTTAACAAAATGGCTGCCAAGCAATGTTTCACATACACACACACACACACACACACACACACACACACACCCCACACCCATTCAGACCTGCCCTGTATTGGGTTCACACTGCCATCTTCTGGCAGTTTCTGGATCTAATGGCTGATTGGTGGATTAATAGTCTATGAAAGTTTTATCTTACGATGCAATAGGAGATTTCTCAGCATGAATTCATCTCAGAGGAGAGGAGGGAATGGTGAACATGAAAAGATTCTCCTCCTCTCTGTGTATATTTTCTAGGGGTTTCCTCCATGTAATAGGCACTAGACTAGAAGAACACACAAAAGGTAGGAAGAACGGAACCTGGACCTTTACCTAGTCCAAGAGGGGAAAAAGCTGTCTGCCAGGTTTAATTTAATGGGTTGTTTTCTTCACTAGAGAGCGTTGTTTACACTCCACACCTTCCACAGCCTGCAGGGAGGCTCTGTGTACCACTTCAATGAATTCTCAGAAGTCAGAGCCATGGATAGACTCTCCATACTGCACTACTTTATCAGTCCTACATACTCTACCAAAATGCAAATTTCTGATCAAGTTAGACTATGAACTCCTTGAAGGCAGAGACCACACATCATCTGTGTGTGTCCCAGAGAATGCTATCGTTCAACTATTTATGCATTGAATAGAACTGAAGGAGTCAGTGCTGATATCAATATAACTTTTATCATAAAATTTATTAGTTGTCCAAAGGGAAAACTACTCCACTCCAACACACTTTCCCCCTTTGTTTTTCAGTGAACCAGAAATTTGTTCAGGTATAGACCACATCACCTTCTAGTTCTGCCATAACCCTTTGGTTTTCAATTGAGGGAAGTGGAATGGACAGGAGGTCCCAGATAGGTAGCCTGTCCAGCTTGCAATTAATCCCTCTGCATTGCAAATACTTTTGCTGATACTAACCAATATGGTTCCTATAGTCTTAAACAATAAACAGCAAAGCCCAACTCTCTGCCCTCTCTCCCACCTAGGGCTGCAGGTAGGAGACACAGAGTTTTCATCACAGAAGCTAATTTTGAGAACAATGAGAACAGGGAGGCATTTCATGGACTGTGGAAACCCCGCCCTTCCCCTTGCCCAACCTTAGTCTCCTGTACCCGATTGTCCAGGGGGCTGGAAGTGGGTCACTGCCATGAGGAGAGAGATCAGGGAGGCCAGTCCTGGAAAGAAAAGATTGGCAGTATTATTGATCAGAGTAACTTACCTGGCCTTTCCGTATCCAGCCGCGTTACCAGTTCAAGCCCCCACCCTCAGCTCTCTGACCCCCAGGCATTCTAGTTACTCAAAAGACAGGGAGGAAAGGAGCAGCCTGTTTGTCTCTGCTGAGATCGGAACCCATACTTGATCTCCTACACGCAGAAAGAGAATGGGAGAGAGCTGCAGAGAGTTTTCCTGTCTTCCCCTCCGCTACCCTTACAAATCCAGGAAAGAGTTCCCTCTACTGGTCTACTCACTTTAAGAGAAATCTTGTGCACTAACTTTTGAAAAGGAATCTATTAACTCATGGTAACACTCGGCTACAGTTTTGCTCTTTTTTGGACCTAGTAAGCAATAGATGTGGGCCAATTCCTTACCTTGTTTCAGTGTATTACCCTGAACTATTATACCAGAAGGAAATAAACCTCAATGGTCCCCAGAATAACTCTGTTCCTAGCTTGCTGCTCCAATGCCTACCCTTGGAAATTTTCCCTGTAGCCCGAGGCATGACAAGTTCCCTGGTAGAAAGGCGTCGCCTCACCTTTGTGGCCCTTTTCTCTTCACCATACCCAGGTTCCCTCCCCCAATAGTCAAAGATCACAGTCAAGTCCAAGGCTTTGGCCACATGTCCATCCTGTTGACTCTGGTCCTGACCAAGGAAACACGAAGCAAAAGCTAAGTCCAGAGACCCCAGCCCAAACCCCAGCCAGATGGAAAAGGCAGTCCTTAAGACCATAAACCAGCCCCAAGCCTTATTTCCCTCCAGGGGTCCATCATGACTGCAGCCTTTGTGAGGGGGCAGGACGGAGGTAGCTGTCAGACATGATGATGTCGCTGGTGAGTTGCTGTTCCAGGAACTCGGAGGTCTCCTCAGCAATCTGACCTGGGATTCGAAAATCAACAGCAGGCGGTGGCTCCTGCTTAGGGCTGGGTAGGGGCCTGGAAACCCAATTCTCAGAGGTCCCCTGGAGGAACTGTAGGAAATTCTCCTCAATAGAGCCCTCCCGACTAGGCAGCCTCAGCTCCTCCTCTGGAGCTGCCTTGAAGAAGCAGACAAACTGTTTGCTAAGCTCACCCCGGATCTGACGGTTGAGACACCCATAGAAAAAAGGATTGGAAGTGAAGCAAAAGTAGCCAATCCAGGTCACCACGTTCTCCACCTGCCCCGTTGAAATGGGCTGAGCGCTCAGGGCAACGTAGAGATGGAAAGAGAAGAAGGGCAACCAACAGAGCAGGAACTGTCCTCCTACGGCCAGGAGGACCACGGCTGCCTTCCCACCCCCAAACGTCCGGTGTGGAGTGGTCTGGTGAGCCCCAGAGCTGGTGACCATCGTAGAACGGCTGCTGAGAGACTCAGAGCGCTGCCGGGGTGTCTCCATCCACGTGGGCAGCGGCCCATGTTGCATGGCAGCCACACGAGCCACGCGGAACATGCTGCAGTAGACCACAAAGATCAGGATCAAGGGCAGCAAGAAGTAAAGGACAGCGAAGACCACCACAAAAAGCTGGCAGTAGGCACTATGGCTCCATTGGAGAGAACAGCCTGGGTTAACACTGGGAGCTCCTTCCTCCCAGGAGACCCGTCCCAACACTGGCACAGATGCCATGGCCAGGGCCTTTATCCACACGCCCACCAGCACGGAGGCCACCAGCCCCAGGGTCATGCGTACCTCGTAGCGCATGGGGTGGACCACATAATAGTAACGTTCCACATTAATGGCAGACACCGAAAGGATGGCCAGGCTGACAAAGCAAACGCTCAGGAACAAGTAGAGGCGACAGGCCACCTCTCCGAAGAGGGCGTGGTCAAAGAGGGCAGAGCTGGAGAGCATGGCCAGGGGCATGAGGGTCAAAGCAGCCAGCAGGTCCACGAGACAGAGATGGAAGACAAAAACAAACTTTCGGAGGGCGGGTGTTTTGGCGATGACAGCCATCACAGCAGCATTGCCAGCCACAGCAGTCAGGTCCAATAGGAGCATGAAGAAGAGAGCCACGGATTCTGAAGCCACGTCCTCAAGTCCCAACTCGGGGACACCGCTGGCAGTAGAGGGACCTGGGGTTTGAAGAGCTCTTCCCAAAGTGGACGAGTTTCCTGATGACTGGGGAATGGGTGAGGACTCCATGGGGCCGAAAGAGGACACCCAGGGCACTTCCTGCTACAGGCCCATCCCCCATCCTACTCCACAGCCCTGGGATGGAAAGCCCCAGGCCTAGGCTTCCACTGGAGCCTGCCGGACAGGCCCTTATCAGTTCCAAGCTGGGCTCCTCTGTGGTAGTGCCAGGCCAGGCAGCTCTGAACTCAGGAGCTCATGTCCGGTTTCTGTCAGGAGGTGATGGGAAGTAGCAGACAGGTAAGGGACCGATGGTCACATACTCACAATACTCCACCTTTCAAGTGGTCTCTGGTACCTCTTTTCCCACTTCCTTTGCTAGTTCTCCATGCTTTTCTTCTCTCTTGAGGGCAATTCTAAATCCTCTGTCTCCCTTCTCCAGGGTCCTGCTGAGCCCTGAGACAGTGCTCTGGCTTTAGGGTGGCTGTGTGAGTTTTCTGATTTTTCATCAGAATGGGGAGCAGGAGAATAAGATTCAGCTTCTAGTTTCAGGTCTGGGCATTACTCACTCTGCAGCTCTTCTGGACTCCAGTTTCCTCACGAAAGCATCTGTGAAAGGAAAGAATGACACCTAGTTCATAACTGTTCACAGGGTCTGGTTTGGTTGCTTAATAAATAGCAGTACTGACCACATAGAATAATGTTTACGTGGTCTGCACACGCCAGGCCCTGTCCATGCGCTTCATGCCCGTCAACTCATTTCCATCCTCACACGATCCTGTGACACAGATGGTGTGGTCTCCGTTTCTCCACAGATAGACCTACAGCCCAGAGAAGTCAAGGAGCATCCCCAAAACCACACAACACAGGAGAGATAAGTTCAGGTAATCTGGCTCCAGGGACAGTTCTTTTGACTACTGTGCCGTTCTATGCAGGAAAGTGGTCTCCCTATCCACTAGAACCTAGGTGTGCAGAAAATCATTGTTGAACCTGAGCAGGCCCTAATGTCTCTCACCACTTTGAGGCTATCACCTAGAAAGGACAACGGTGCTTTAGTCCCCACTGATACCATCACTCCCCAAACAAAGAGCTGCCAGTGTGGAGTGATGAGGGATCTGCAGTGAAGATAATACCCAGCTGCAGGGAAAGCCAGTGCATCTGCTCCTGAGCTCCCAAGGCCGGGGGGACACGCCATTTCCGGGGGACAAGCCATTTCCAGGGGGACACGCCATTTCCAGGGCACACACCATTTCCAAGCTGGCTGCCCTACCTAGTCTTTTGTTTGCTTGTTTTGTTTTGTTTTTGAGACAGGGTTTCTCTGTATAGCCCTGGCTATCCTGGAACTTACTCTGGTTTCTCTGTGTAGCTCTGGCTATCCTGGAACTTACTCTGTAACCCAGGCTGGCCTTGAACTCAGAGATCCACCTGCCTCTGCCTCTTGAGTGCTGGGATTAAAGGCATGCGCCACCACCAGGCTCAGCAACCTGCTCTTCAGCATCTCAGGATGGTTGCTGCTATGTCCTTGCTGGTGGAAGAAGAGCATTCACCCCAAAGCCCTCTGGGTTCTGGTCTCCTCCCATGTCCTCCTGAGAAGGGTGAAGGTGCTGGGGGGGTGGGTAGAGGACTTTGATTATAGAATTAAGTATACATAAAGCAGACAAAACCAGACTAAATCAGCACCTCCTATAGCTCCTGATCAAGCGGCAGGTCGCATCTGTTTTATATGTCATTGTTCACATTGAGCTTGCACGTAATCGAAATAGGTTGGCCACAGTGTAACACACACACACACACACACACACACACACACACACACACAAATAATACAGTTTGCTGAGTTACACAGCATAGAGACAAGCCACGAACATGTCCAGTCTGATGGCCGTTCTAAAAACAAGTTAAAAGTTTTCTGGGCCACACTTTCAGCAACTGTGACTTGGAAGGGTTGGACTAGAAAATCATCAAACTTCCTACACCAAGTTTTTTACTACTCTGTGAGTTCCTGGGTTGGAGCACCTGGCGGTTGCTCCATTTAAAACAAACAAACAATAACAACAACAACAAAAACAAATGAACGAACGAACAAACAAAACATCCTTTCTACAACTGCAGTGAAGAGAACCACACAGCCTGCCAGAGCCTCGCTTCTCTCAAAGTTACATTACAATCACCATAGGCTTGGGGCAGAACCATACACCTTGCACTGATCCAACGTCTTACATGCCATGCATGCATTAAGTGTTAGTGCAATTCTTGTGAATTGAGTCAGACTCAAATTGACTAATTGAATCCTGGCCCCAGAGTACAAATTCCCAAAATATTCAGTCAGTCATCTGTGTGCCAGCCAGGGGATTTTCTTATGAGGAGGATAGCCCAGGCTCCTGGATTTGCGACTTCCCTAACTTTGGACAACTGCCTAGAGACTTGCCTCTCTCCAGGGAGATGTCAGATTCTCATAAGACAGTCTACCAGGAAAAATGCCTGAAAGAAATCCTAGAGGATGTGCCTTTACCCATTACTCTCCATATCTAGTCTTCCTGGGAGTGAGGCCGAAAGATGTGGTACCTAAAGGAGAAAGAGTTCACTATGTGTACATGAATAGCAGGAGTCTAATCCAGCAAGACCTAGCTACAATCCCTGACAGAGAAGAGTGGACATTGTTTTCATGTGGACACATGGACATATAGGGGTGCTATGCAGCCATGATGGAGCCTTGGGCAAGAAAGCACCGCCACCCCTGTCTTGTCAAAATTTCTACAGTGACTTCAAAATTCCAGGATTCCAGTTTACCTCACAACAGACAGACCGATATGCTTAGCTGCTTGGTACTCTTTCATTGATGGAAGGTGATGAAGGGGAGGGCCGTGGTGTGATGGCTTCATAGGGGAAACCCAAGGAGTCTGACTCCACTCTTAGCTCAGGTCATCATGCCTTCTACCTCAGTAGACGCTCGCAGCCTCCCACTGCTTCGTTCGATAACCACCTCCAAGACCTTTCGGTACCCGGAAGGCTTTGCCACTATAGGGTCTGAGTTCTGCTCTCTGGCAGGGCCATGATCAAGTGACAGATATCCTCATTTCAGGACGTAGGACATGCACACGTGCCTAGCCCAAGGCCGCATAGGTGTTGTTAGGATTCACATGTACCTGTTTCTCACATCCAGAGCTTCTGTGCCAAGGATCAGAGCTGGGCCTACCTTCAGCAAGAATTTGGCCCTCTTAGGCCAGGAGAGATTTCCAGGGACCTTCAACACCTCTCCTTAGCAGAGCTGCCCACACCCAGGACTCAGATGCCCATCATCCTGGAATGCCGACGGGCCTATTCCTAGGATGTGGGGACCTATCCCTATGACACAGAGCAAGGCAGACAGAGAATGCTGTCTGTTGCAGGATGTGATCAGCCTTCTATTTCTAGGCTTTAGAGATGCCCACATCCCGATACTACCTTGGGACACCTGGGAGCCCATCCTCTGACAGAACTGCCCACCATCCCATCCGACAGGGTGGGTTGCCCCTTGGAATGCCACCCTTCTGTAAGGTGAGGTAGCACTCACCACCAGGCCCTGACTCTGGCCCCCATTCCTGGCCTAGCCAGCAACTCCTACCTTTGCTGAGCAGCTCCCAGCTCCTATGTGATAGCTGCTCTCAGCTGATGCTTCTCCGAGGCTGCTGAAGCCTGAACCACTGCAGTAAGCGGAGAGAGGCAGCCAGCAGAGCAGGATGCTCGGAGAGCTTCTGGGTCCTAGTGGCCTCCTGCTTTCCACCAGCCCCTTAGAGCCACTTCTGGAGCAAACAGCTGGACCTCAGGGTCCCCAGGCAGAGTGCTCTGAAAGCCTCGTCCCTCATATTTCTCTCAGGGTTCTGGACTGCCTCTCAAAAGCTTCCAGGAGCCAGCTCATGACAAGCAGGCAGGGGAAACCCTCCTAATCGGTCTGATTAAAAAAAAAAAAAAGCCCTGGGCCCTTAATAACTGAGTTACCTTGGGCGAGTCATTTCCATTTGGCCTTTGTTTCTTATCTGTTCAATAGGATTATGGGATAGATGGTCCCTGAGGTTTCTGACAGCCATATTGTTTATTGCATGGTTCTGTATGATACCAGAACCAAGGTGCTTCTGTAGTAGGTAGATCAATGCACAGCCAGAACCCCAAGACTATACCTTTGGAAAAGCTGAGGCTCCTGAGGAGGATTCATGGTTTGACTCCTTCAGAGTGTAGCAAATTCATATAGCAGACAGATTGAGGGGTAGCAGTGGAATTTTTTTTGGTTTTTCGAGACAGGGTTTCTCTTGGCTTTGGAGGCTGTCCTGGAACTCACTCTGTAGACCAGGCTGGCCTCGAACTCACAGAGATCCGCCTGCCTCTGCCTCCCGAGTGCTGGGATTAAAGGCGTGTGCCACCAACGCCCGGCTAGCAGTGGAATTTGAAGGGGAGTCAAAGGCCCTGCACTTGCCCCCACCCAGAGCACATCACTCTTATTCTTAAACTGTATCTTTATTTGGAATGAAGCTGTGAGGGCTGTGGAGACAGGGGCATCTGACATCTCCTGAACTACCACACCTCTGCTCCATGAAGGCGGAGAAGCCAGATTCTCGGGAAGGCTCAGCTTGGTCCATACTTGCAGGACTGGACAGAGCCAGGAGCATCACAGAGTGTCACCACTGTGTGACAAACCCTTAGAAGTGAGAGAAGGAGTCTGGCCTCCTCCTAGCTAAGAAGGACATTGTCAGTGACCGATACCAAGAATAGGAACCTTACACAGAAGTTACCATTTCCACAGAATATGCACTCAGTAGTTTCTCTCTTCTAGGTTTGTCCTATGTGTTTGTTTTGTTTTGCCTGAGTTCGTGTATGTGCACCACCTGTGTGCTGCCCAGGGAGGTCAGAAGAGGGTGCTGAATCCCTTGAAACTAGAGTTATGGATGGTTTCGAGCGATCGTGTGGGTGCTGACAACCAAACCTGGGTCCTCTGTAAGAGCAACAAGTGCTCTTAACTGCTGAGCCAACTCTCCTGCCCCAAGGCATCCATCCTCTGGAGGAGAGGAGAAGATATTGCCCCAAGTCTACACCCCATGTAGCAGAACCACTAGCTTGAACAGGGAATTCAAATCAGATCTGGAGCTGCCCCCAGAGCCTCATGGGGGGGGGGGACACCTGTATATTGAACACTTCCTTCTGGCTCCAAGGGAATTCTAGAATTGCTTACTAGATCTCACCCAGGGAACTCAGAAGAATAGGCTGCCTTTATTATTGTTGTTGTTTTTCAAGACAGGGTTTCTCTGTGTAACATACTATGTAGACGAAGCTGGCCTTGAACACAGAGATCTGCCTGCCTTTGGCTTTCAAGTACTAGGATTAAAGGTATGTGCCACCACCACCCATTGAGGTTGGCCAAGAGAATTGACTCCCTAAAGCTGGTAAGTGATCTGGGCTACCACCAGTCACTATCTCTGAATTCTTAATGAGTGGTGGACTCATGACCTATGACATCTTTAGTCCTCATGCCAATTTTTTTTTTTTTTTTGGTTTTTCGAGACAGGGTTTCTCTGTGGCTTTGGAGGCTATCCTGGAACAAGCTCTTGTAGACCAGGCTGGTCTCAAACTCACAGAGATCCTCCTGCCTCTGCCTCCGGAGTGCTGGGATTAAGGCAGCAATTACTTCCAAGGAAAAGGGTACATGGTGAAGTGACTGCCCAGATCAGATACAGCCAGAACCGATATCTGAATCCAGTCTGTCTGAAGATAAAATGTTTTCTCAGTCGTCCCTGGCTGCCTGGCCTCTCTGGAGTCCTGATGTGACACTAAGACAAAAGCACAGATTGATCAGGACCCAGAAGCCCTTGCAGGGATGCAGAGAGAGTTAGAGCAGACAGGATCTTTGCAACAGAGGTGCAGACAAAAGTACTAGACAGGCCAGGAAACCATGGTTCGACTTTGGGTGAACTTTGCTGGTTAGAAGTAAGACCTCGGCTTCTGAATTGGCTATGTATTAGTTTTTTTCCTATGTGAAAAGGGCAAACTCCTCACTCCCCAGTGTCTCTAATGGGTTACAGAGGCAATAATACAGATGGAGTGTGCTTCCCAGGGAGCTAGTACAGTTATTATGGCTGGCCAATAAGCTGGTGTGGGGCCAAGGGCAAGGTCAGGAGTCTTTTACTAAAAAGCTACTGGGGAATGGGGTAGGAAGGAGATGGTGGGTTCTATGTCATCTTCCCAGATGCTGGAAGCCATCTTGGATGGGGAGCAGGAGAAAAAGAACCAAGAGCAGGGGGAGGAAACAGCCTAAGGCTGTAGCAACAGATAATAGCAATGCTGGTAACAGTAAGGGGCCTGCTGTTATCTCTTGAGGTCTACTCAGTGGGGGTTCAGAGTAGCTGTTGACATAACACCTTTACTCTAACTTTCCTCCCTCCTTCCCTCCCTCCCTCCCTCTCTTTCTTTCTCTCTCTTTCCTTATTTATTTTTGAGAAAGTGCCTGGCACTGTAGCTTAGGCTAACCCCATGTGATCTTCCTGTTCAACTGGATGTTGAGGTTACAGTTCTGAGCCATCATACCCAACTCAATCCCTCCAGCACAATGGAGGAGGCGAGAGGATTAAGGGAGAGATACTAGATGTGGTCTTCCAAATCCCACCAGCTCCCCTCGGTCTACTGTGACCCCTAGGACTCCTGTCGCAGGATGGGGGACGACCCCCTCTGCACAGTGCCATGTCTCTTTTGAGGGTCAGGCGGAGCCTTGGGAGCGGAGCCCTATGTCACTTCATCAGTATTGTTCATCCCATCCTCCTGTTTCCGCCCAGGATGACATCTTCAAGCTGAACGGGTTTACCTTCTGTCTGTGCATCCTTTACTCTGTAAACACTGAGTGACTTTCTGCAAGCTCCTCCCCTCCTCCCTGAATTGCTTAGTGGTACCCTCCAGTCCTTCCCTGCCAAAAACTCTCAGGAAAGAGCTCCATCAGTCCACTCACACAGAGAGCAGCTTCCTGTGCTTTCTCCCAGGAATATTAGCAATTGAATGGGACACAAAGGGAAGGAGCAAAACATTAGGACAACAGCAAGGACCAGGAGTGTCCCTGAGATCTCACTATATACAGAGTGCCCTGAGATCTCACTATATACAGAGTGCCCTGAGATCTCACTAAATACAGAGTGCCCTGAGATCTCACTATATACAGAGTGCCCTGAGATCTCACTATATACGGAGTGCCCTGAGATCTCACTATATACAGAGTGCCCTGAGATCTCACTATATACAGAGTGCCCTGAGATCTCACTATATACAGAGTGCCCTGAGATCTCACTAAATACAGGGTGCCCATTAAGCCACCTCTTCTCCTGTCGGGCCTCACCCCAGCATGCCAGCACCATCCACTGGACACCCAACCATTCCACCCCAACACAGATGCCCAAAGAGCAGGCTCTCAGCTGGGGCCTCTCCACTGTGGCTCAGGGCCTAGCTGTCCAGAGACCCCAGCATCAGCACCAGGGAACCTGCTCCCTAGGCATCCACCTCCCCTACCCCCATCTGAGAGGGCTGGGCAGAGGTGAGAGCCTTTCCATTCCTTTTGTTCCCCCACAGTCTGGCCCACACCCCCTGCCAGGAGCCGAGATCCAACAGTATATTCAGCCTGCAGCTGCCACTGGTCATGTGAGCCCATTGCTAGGTTACAGGAACCCAAAAATAAATCCTTCCCAACCAGATTAGAAACTGGGGGCCTTGGATGAACCAGACTCAAAAGAGTGGCAGGAACATCCACAGTGAATGAACAGGCCTGGCCGTGCTGTCTGCTTCCTAACCAGCAGCCAGCCTCAACCCTGGACCCCCAAAGAAAAACTGCAGACAGCTTCTGCTTCCATAGCAACACAATAAACAGGGTTATGGGCCGAGAGGCCATCTCAGTGGCAATCAAGAACAGCTCGAGCCTCGCTTCTCTATCAGGAGCTCCCATCCAACACCCTCGCCAGCCGGTTCCTCGGATAGGCCTCACCCCACACTAGAGCCCTGTGCCGCTGACCATTTGCCTGGGCCCCGGGGCGCAATGAGGACCAGTTGTTCTTTTCAGCCAGAAAGCAGGCGCAATGCTGGGCCTTTCATACAAGCAGTTTCCTCACCCAGTCTTCTGGGTCAGTTTTCATAGCTCCAAACGTGGAAAAGGAGGTTCAGAGAGGCTACTGGGGTTCAGCACCACTTGCTGGGGAATGGAAGAGGACAGGAAGCACCAAAAGAGAGAAGGGGAGAGGGTCCCTCAAAACCCTCCCCCTGGGGCCAGTCTAATTGCCCCTACTCGCTCTGAATCAGGGTGCTGTCTTCACCGCATTACCTCTGCCTCCTCCAAGTGAGATCACAGCCTGGGGAGGACACACAGCACACACAGAGCCTCCGCGCCCTCCCCCCCCGCCCCTGTGGCCTCCAACGCTGGTCTTTTAGGAGAAATGAGCTCTGCCGTTGAGGCCTGGGGAGAGAGAAGACAGAGTACCAGAGCAAAGAGTCTTCCGAGTAGAGGAGTCTAGCGCCAATCTTACAGATGACTAGACCCAGAGGGAGACATATTTGCCCCAGGCTGCACAGTTAGAGAGTGAAGGAGAACCAGACCTGGAGATTCTGAACTCTATGCCCCTCCCCATGGCTCAGGGCAACCTGGAGTTCTTCCCAATACCCTGACACCCTACCTCAACTTACCTCAGTTCCAAGCCCCTCCTGATTGCTGTACTCTTCAACAAAGGGCTTCCTCC